TTTTAACCAATCATCTTATCTTATTAGCTTTAATTTATTCATATTCTTTTTATAACGCCATTTTTGAAGTGTTTTTCACTTTTATAACACTATAATTTATCAGGTCAAGTTTGGTTTCATGCCAGTCTAAATAACATGATAATTCAAATTGGCTTCAGATTATATTTGTTTCCTATCAATTTAATTATCAACATGAAAATTTAAATTAGGTGTAGCTTATTTAAACGAACATTAAAGAAAATAAATAATCACAGTGCCAAATTTTAGAGACATAAATGAGTAAAAACTATCAAAGTGGAACTAAGAAACAAATTTTATTTAGGAAATAAACCAAATATACTAAACTATGGTATTTAACCACGTGCGTTACACGCACATAAAACCTAGTAACTATCAAATACATGAATATATATATGATAATATTAGTCATAACTGTCAATTACACAGTAGATGATTATAATTCAAAATATTAACATTTTCCTAACAAAGGATAAATTTTTTTCCTTTATATATATAAGCTTTTATATTCTATAGATGAATAGTATATCATATCATACTCTCTTTAAAAGTACGAGTTCAGAAAAAGCTTTCCATGGTCAATATTACATTTTACTATTTTTTAATATTTTATTTAAATATTAATCTATCGTAATAATAACTTTATCTTATCATAATCACATGTGAACTACCAATAGCTTAACAATTTAAAAATAAATAAGATAAAGAAAATACATAATGGAGGACTTGTGGCCTATGCTTATCTCTGTAACTTTTTGTTTGGATTGACTGGGAGGTTGCAATTAGGATCACTAAATTTTCTTTTTTTCCTTTTTTCGAGAGTCGAATATGACATGTTTTTATTATTTGTTTACTTTATAGATTTGGTATTAGATTGCTAAGGTAAAAAACCAATAGTATTTTGAATATTTTATTTAAATATTAATCTATTTTAATCATAATAATATTCATCCTAATCCCATGTGAACTACCTATAGCTCAAAAGTTTAAAAAAATAAGATGAAGAAAATACATGAAAATAACTTTGCGGTATTAGTTTGTTAAGGTAAAGAACCAACGTGCTATAATATATAAAGTATAACAAAAAAAACTAAAATGTTCCAAAAATAGCACAAAATACCCTCACACAAAAACATTTTGATGTTTCCAAACTTAAAATAGTAAACATGAAATCTGAAAATTAACAACGCCTCTGAAGAACTTAAAATTTATAATTAGCACCTTTAAAGTTTTAAAAATTGTAACATGACCCTTAAAAGTTCAAATACTAAAAAAACATCCTCAAATCCTAAAAATTTAAAAGTTGCAAACAATAAAAATGAATTTAAAAATCACAAAAATAACCTCAAAGCTATAGAACTTGCAAAAAAAAAACTCCTTCAAAAGTTAAAAATCACAAAAAATTCTGAAATTTCAAAATTTATAACCAGTAGATATCAAATCTGTTATCTGAGATTGATAAAATATTAAATTTTACAACAAGCAATCTAAAAATTCAATAATCGTAAAAACACCCTCAAATTTTTAGAATTGTAAGAAATATTTTGACATTCATAAATTACCACCAACACATAAAACATAGAAATTATAAGTATCCAACTTAAAATTTAATTTTTAAAAAATACTCTTAAAGTTTTAAAATTTGCAAAACTCACACTAAAAAAATTCAAAATCACAAAAAAATCTCAAAACTTAGCGGAAAAAGAGTAATTGTTTGATATTTTTCATTAAAATATATAAATTTAACTTTCAATGTAAGGTTTACAATCTATTTTTAGCATCTAAAAGTAACTAGTCTGCTGTCCGTGCAAAGCACGGTTTTTTTTTTTTTTGCTACAGTATTCCCGCCTTTTTAACATCTCCTGTTTTGAATTTTCTGGGAATGATACAGTAGCCGTTCTGCTACAGTGCATTTTACATGCTACAGTGTACCTGTGTGCTACAGTAATTTTTAATTAATTATCTGCTACAGTAATACTGCTACAATAAATCTACTGTAGCATTTACTGTGGCATGAACAGTAACTCTCTGATCCTCCTATTTGTATAAAAGAATAGATTTAATTTTATTGAAAAAGATAAAGACGGAGAATGATTGATGTCGGCTCAATAAAAAAATTAAACAAAAGGAATGAAAGACACTATTTTCTAAATATTTTATAGAATAGATTTTTTAGAGTAAATAAGGAATCTTTAGAAGGAATTATCATGAGCTTGTTTTAGCATTTTATATGCTTATGTCAATATTTTCATCATATAAAAGTATACTAAAATTAGAATTAATATTTAGCTTATAACTTTTTTAAATTCCATCAAGAATTAGTAACAACCTTTTATATCCCCTTTTGTGTTGTTTTACCCTATTTTTAACCCGTCATCTTATCTTATTAGCTTTAATTTATTCATCTTACTTTTATAACGCTATTTTTTCACTTTTGCAACACTATATTTTCTTAGGTAAAACTTGGTTTAATGTAAGTCTAAGTAATATGATAAGTCAAATTTGCTTTGAACTACATCTATTTTCTATCAATTTAGTTATCAACATGAAAATTTAAATTGGGTGTAGCTCATTTACACGAACATCAAAGAAAAATATTCATAAAATTAAAGTTTAGAGACATAAGTGAGCAAAAACCATTAAAGTGGAACTAATGAATAAATTTTAGTAAGGAAATAAACTAAAAATACTTAATAATGATATTTAACTGTGTGCATAAAACCTAATAATAATATCATTAGGTGATGGATTAGTTGACATGAGATGAGTCATAATAATTGTTGATGTCAGGCATCGAATATGAGGTTCATTTGTGGATTATAATGGTGTTAGTGTTCTCAAACTGCCTTAAATGATCAGTTCTGGAGCCTGACGTTCTCTCCTGCACATGAAAAGCTTGTGAGAGGCCGGAGTTAGGTTCTCCATTGTTCCTCGGACGATCAAATCAGTAATTAATCTTGAATGGGAAAATGAGAAGTAAATGGTGACTAAAAGTTTAAAGTTGCATGGAAAAAATAGAAGAAAGCTACCCTAAGCAGCGTGGTTTCCTTTTATAGTGGATCAAAAGGGAAGATAAGTAATTTTGACAGAGTCTGGACAGGCAGCTGAATCTGCAGATACCTTACAAGCTTCAGTAGCTGAAGAAGGTGAGTCATCCGGGTATTTAATGTGAGGGCGACAACAAGTGCTTAGTGCTGACTATATCCGATGAGTCATAAAGACTATGGGGGATAGAGCAATGATAACTCTGACAGCGCAAGCGTGGAACGAGACACATGTCGGCCTCCCGATGAGGATTAGCACTTAGTTGTTTATAGGCTATATAACAATAATATTATTACTATTTGTTCAATTAATTAATGATGATTAAGGGGAGGGAGATGTGAGATTAATTTAAGGTGATGGGCTGATTTAAGAAGCGCTGAAGGGTGTATAAATCTTTTCACATGATTGGTCCCTTGGATTAGTTGACATGAGATGAGTCATAATAATATTATTACTATTTGTTCAATTAATTAATGATTAATGGGAGGGAGATGTTGGATTAATTTAAGGTGGTGGATTGATTTAAGAAGGACCGAAGGGTGCATAAATCTTTTCACATGATTGATCCCTTGACATTTCACGAGAAATGTGGTCCCACTGTACCAGCTTCAGGACCCTTGGCAACAATGACAAGCGCAGGATCTCCATGTAGAAATCTTGTATTTCTCTCTTTTTTAAGAAGAAGATATATAAAAATAAAAAAAAAAAGAGGAGGAGAAATTAAAATAACTACATTCCATCAACCAGGTAACCTTGAAATCTGACAGCAAATTAACACTCTTGTTTTTTGTTCACTTAAAATTATTATTAGATAATTATAATAAGAATTAAAGTTAGGGCTAGGATTAGGATTATGGTTCAGTTATAACAAAGAGTACTAGCTATTAGGATTAAGATTCAGGTTATAAAAATGAAACTCTGGGCAATGATCTTTGTTACAATTTTAAATCTAATTTCAATCCTAATCATAACCCTAATCAGAAACTCTGGGCAATAATCTTTGTTTCAATTTTAAATCTAATTTCAATCCTAATCATAACCCTAATCAGAACTCTAAACCTAATCCCAAAGATAATTAGTATTTAACAATTCTCCAAATAAGAATCAGTAAATTTAGAATTATTAATAGAGATGCACAGACTTTAGGATCAGACGGTACCTCTGGGTAGGGGTGGTAAATGATCGAATCGAATCGAATATTAAGGTGTTCATATTTGTATTTGTTTAAAATTATCGAATTCGAATGCGGACTCTAATATTCATATATATAGTTTTTCGGATTTGAACTCGAATACTTGGTATTTGATAAAATTTTAAGAATGTTTACAAATACTTATCTAATATCAAAGTATATTTATTCTGCTAAAAAAATTTGATTTTCAAATAATATTAAAATTCATATATAAAAATTATTTCTTTATAATATATGATATATATATTTAAATTAAAATTTAATTAGAAAACAGATTTAAGATTATTTAAGTCTTGAAATTAGTATATAAAACTTAAGTAGAAATGATAAGTGAGTTAAAAATATGACATCATATGTGCAATAATACAAATAATAATGTGTGATCAAATTTTAAACGAATATTTAATAGACAAACGAATCGAATATAGATCTTGTTAAATTTTATTCGTTATTAAACTCGAATACTAAAAAATATTTGTTTAGTGGTAAATGAACTATTGAATCGAATATGACCAAATAGTTATTCGAACAATTATAGAACCATTTGTTAATTATTTGGTTTATTTCCATCCCTAGCTCTGGGGGTTTGGGGGCCTGGGGGCACTAGAACGAGATTAATCCTATAAATAATCATATTTTATTGAGTCAACACCATTTTGTAAAAGGCCCAAGCCCAACCCAATTAATTCAACGGGTACGAGTTTTATAGCCCATCAAAACCCGACCCATTTGCTTCTGTCAGCACACGAACTCTCGTCGTCAACAAAAAACAACAAAACCCTAATCACCCTGCGAGCTCCGGCCATGCTCATCAATGGCGATCATCAAAACCCTAGTCCGATCCCTCACCCGCCGGAACCGTAACCCTAGATCCAGTATCCCTCTCTTCTCCTTTTCATCCCCTCACTCCCTTTCTCCCGCCTTCTCCATCGCCTCGAACCCCTCCTCCTCCTCCATTCTCCGCCTCACCTCCTCTCACTCGGGCCCTCGCTTTATCTGCTCCCCTCCATGGATGCTGTCTCAGTTCACCACCCCTCTCTATTTGAGGGGTAAAGATGCGATCTTTCCCAGTGACTTGCTCCGCGTGAGGAGCTTTCCGACCGAGCTAGGGTTTATAGGTGGCGATGGGGGGTTGATTAGTGATGGAGGTATTGAGAGGGTTGAGCTTGATGACAGGTTCCTCAATTTGCCGAATTTGATCTCGATTTCTCGCGGGGTTTCGGGACCTTTCATTGGATGGTATGTGCTCAAATTCTAGCTGTTGCATTGGAGCATGTAGTTTGCAAAATTGTGAATTTTGATAGTGAAGTACACTGTGGGAATCAAAATTTTGTGGGTTTGAATCCAATTTTGAGCTTGCTGTTTGCAACTGTTTGCTTCTGTGTAAGAAAGAGCGGGTGATACTTGGTATCAATCAGTATTCATCTGTAGATTTATATTCACGGGGATGACATTAAAAGAATTGAAATATAATTGTTCAGATAAGAAAGAGAGGTGTAAATAATATTATGTTACATACTAACTTGTTGAAAGTTACTCAGGTCATCGTAGTTTGATATCATTATTATACTTGAGATACTATGCATTAGAAATATTCCTTCCAAATGTTCGTTAAATACCTTTCTTAAGTTATGTATTCCAAGCATTCTGTTCACGATCGACATGCTTATACTGATAGTTTGACATAACCTAATCACATGTTTGACGCCTTCTGACAACTATTTGTGGACAGTGGTAAACAAACTCATAGTTCACTTAAACCAATAGCTTAGAAATATAATATACTTAAACTAAGCCTGGAACTTCAATCTAGACCATTGGACCTGTCACCTGCCAAATGAACAAATATTTTGACGGGTGACTGAACTTGAAAAGACTGAATTCTTATACTCTGACACCATTTTTTAGAATTTAGACAGGTACTTTGTGTCATTCAGATAGAGGCGTGCAAAATCTTGTAATGGAAGTAACTTGTTTATGTTGTATATTGCTTGCAAATTATAGAAGACTTGCTGTTCTAAACTTCATGCGTTAATGTCTTATTTCCTAGTGTAATGGGAGAAACATAATATTGATTAAGAAAGGTATTTCTGGATACTCTTTATTGTTAAAAGTCCTAAGGTTTTGACATGAATCAAAATGCCAATTGTCTGCTATGTTTTTCCAGGATGATTATAAACGAATGGTATCTTCCAGCATTTTGTGGATTGGCAATCTCCGGAGCAACTGATTGGGTTAGTATACTTGTTACGGTATCAAAATAATTTCTGAAATATATCCTCTTTAGTCCTAATTATTACTTTCTTTTCATTTTAATGTTACAGTTAGACGGATTCCTCGCTAGAAAGATGGGTATTAATTCAGTGTTTGGATCATATCTTGATCCCCTTGCTGACAAGGTTGAATATTTTTATACTCTGCTAGTAGATTTATTCTTGTTGCTCATCAACTTGATTGTGCTTTTTCTTGATAGTCCAGGTTCTAATTGCGTCTGTTGCTTTAGCTATGGTGAAGCAAGATCTTTTACACCGTAAGTAGCCAGAAAAATCACTTTCAGCACAATCTTTTGTGTGAATTTTTTGTAACATGGCACAAAATACATAATAGACACTTGCCCTGTATATAAACTATATCCCAAAATAATAAATAAATAACAAGATATCTAGTACATACGAGATAATGTGAGCAGGTGACATATATTATTGGAATCGAATTATGAACCTGCATGACTATATAATCAACCATACGGGAAAAAGGCTTTTGGGAGTATCCAGATTTGTTTTTAAACCAACCCATTAACCCAACAAACCTGATTCTTAAAGAATATTGATCCACCCTTATTTCATTCCATGTGCCCATAAGCACTCATGATTGAGAATCTAAAAATGCATATATATTTTTTTTCTAACACAGTCTTTTCTGGATTTTGAAGCTGCATTGGTTGGCCTTGTTGTGTTTAGAGATGTTGCTTTAGTCATCGGCGCCATTTATAAAAGAGCTTCTAGCTTGGGGTGGGAGGTAAGTTGTACCAAATTAATAGCTGAAAGTTAATATTCTCAAAGCCAATACATATACTTAATCTTATCAAAGCCGATACATATACACACATTGTTGTTCTGATTCTTTTTTTTAGTGGAAGAGTTGGTCAGAATTTGTCAACCTTGATGTCTTGCATCGAGAGAAAGTGGAACCCCTCTTTATTAGCAAGGTATGCTTTCTGCTTTTCATAAACAGAAGTTGCTTTGAGGTTAAGAAACACTACATTTCCCACCAACTACTGTGCCAAACTAATGTGTGTGGTGTTGCAGGTTAATACAGTCTTCCAATTGCTATTAGTTGCTGGTGCTCTTCTTCAACCGGAATTTGGCACTGAAGAAACACAATTGTACATCAAATACTTGAGGTTGTGCTCAATTCTATACTACATATTAGCACATATACTTGGAGGACACTCTGCATGATAGAAAAATGACACTGTATTATAAGTATCTGCTAAACTATAAATATTTAGACTTTCATTGGGCAAATCATTGTTTATCCGGCTCTAGCTTACAGTATTTTAAGTGATCATGCAATTGTCTGTGCTGCTGATTTCTCATTTCTATAGTATCAATCATCTCCCTAATGATCATGCATATAGCTAGCCGCATTACTGGAAACTGGATTTGAACTGTATAGTATTTTGATAACTGTCGTCACTGTTGCAGTTGGTTGGTAGCTTCAACAACAATAGCATCTTCTGCAGCTTATGGAGCTCAACATCTTCGCAGTAGATCAGCTTACGCCATCAGAAAACTGTAGCAAAATATTGCAAATAGTGCAGTTGGTTGGTGGTATTTTCGACAGCAATAGTCTTCGGCAGCCTGTGGAGGTCAATGTCCTTGTAACTGTTCAGTTTCGCCATCAACAGACAGTAGCCAGGTTCAGAAGTAGCAAGTTGTTATGATTTCTTTCTGTCACACCACTAGAGGTCGCGAGGCTAAGTACAGTCCCTAAAATCCCAAGTCGAATGGATTTTGTACAACATCAGGATCGTCCCCCAGGATGGAGCTTGTAAATGCTGGGTTAGGGAAACTCTGGTCGCAGATTTGATGTCGAAAAAAGTTTAAAAGAGAACAAGGCTGACAAAATCAGTACGTAATTTGACAGATGAGTTCTTCTCTGTACCTGTTTATTTATCTATGTTACTCGGTTGTAAATTGAATTTTGTTGCATATCCTTGAGCAAAGAGAGGACGGAACGGGGAAAGGTAATAAGTTCCTCCAATTGCAAATTTGTTTTCTTCCAAGAGGTTCAGAATCCAAATCTCGTTATTGTCATATTTTAATGTATTTATTTGCTTTGTTTTTTCAGTCAACTTCAGATTAGCTTGATATATTTTATTGTAACATCTAAATTTTTAGATCAAATGGTTCTTATTTCTTTATGAGGACAACCATAATAGCAACATGCTCTATCTATTATTTAAGTACAATGAGCAATAAACAAAATAAGATTACTGCGAAAACAACCCAAAGTATCTGACAGATTCCCTTCACTTCTCCATAGAAATTGGAAATTAGATAGTGGAGATGTAGTTGTTCGTTTCACATAGAAAAGAGTGGAGAACATTGTGTGGAAATATATTTCCTTTATTTCCAATGTTTTGTTAGAAAAGAAAACAGCATGAAATGAATTTGCATCTCCATTATTTAATTCATTCCCAACTGCCCAAGTATGACTTCCACATCATTTGGTCCACTTTATTAAATGTTTAATTCACTTTGGTGAGATTTCCACCCAATTTCGGAGCTTTTAACTAGGATATTAGTTTTCCGCTTTTTCTGATGTGACACTTTATTTCAGATTCTCTTTTTCCACATTGAGCTTTTCGAACCAAACACCTACAAAGAAAAAACTATAGATCGTACTCCCTTTAAAATTACGAGTTGGGAAAAATCTTTTCATGATCAATATTAATCTTATTTTTTTTTAAATATTATATTATTATTCTAATCTATTCTAATTATCATATCTTCTTTGAATTGGTAATTAAATAATTTATCCTACTCATAATGAGACTTAACATGTTATTGGATAAGGGATATGTGTTTGATATAATTTAAATCCTTTACTTATTTCAGTTCGCAGAGAAATCTAAAAATTATATGATAATCAGCGGCTAAAAGTTTTTGGACTGTGTAAAAAATATCCTCCAATTTTTTTAAATTGTAAAAACACCCCTACAAATTTAAAATTTTATTAAAACATCTTAAAAATTATAAATTTTACTTACTTCAATTGAATGAGAAATCTGAAAAACATATGCTAGCTAGAAACTGAAAGTTTTTTGACTTTGGAGAAAATATCTTGGAAGTTTTAAAAATTGAAAAACACCCCTAAAAATTCAGAAATTATAAAAAAAAACACATTGAAAACAAAAAAATATTTCCATAGTCAATATTACCCTTAGTTTTTTTAATATTACATTGTTATCCTAATCTATTCTAGTTATCATATCTTTTTTGAATTGTTAATTAAATGATTTATCTTATTCATAATGAGACTCAACATGTTATTAGATAAAGGAGATACATTTGACATAATTCAAATCTTTTATTATTTCAGTTCGTAGAGAAATCTAAAAAACATATGCTAGCCAACACCCAAAAGTTTTTGGACTTCGTAAAAAATATCCTCCAAGTTTTTTAATTTGCAAAAACACCCCTAAAAATTCAAATATTTATTAAAACATCTTGAAAATTACAAATTTTACTTCAATTCACTGAGAAATCTAAAAAACACATGCTAGCTAGAAAATGAAAGTTTTTTTACTTTGGAGAAAATATCTTGTAAGTTTTAAAAATTAAAAACAAAACACCTCTAAAAATTCAAAATTTATAAAAAACACATTAAAAATTTCAGACCTATAAACACACTAAAAACCTACAAATAACACAAACGACCCCCCAAAAAGCACTCTACGAACTGAAATTTGCAAACTGCAAAGTAACACCCAAATTTGCAATAAGCACTCTGAACTTTTTACAAACTGCAAAGTAACACCCTCAAAGTCGTAAAATTTACAAAAATCCCACTAGGGTTTTAATTATCAAACAAATATAATAGACTGTGGATTATGTATAATGCTCGTGATAATTCCTGAAATCAAAGAAAAGGAGAGCAAGTGATACTTGCCTCGGAATATACTGGTATGGATCCATAGAACCAAATCCTACTTGAGCAAAAACTCCATATTTTTAGTAGAAGGTGTAAAACGACGAGAGAAACATTTTCCTAAACTTCAAGAAATTCAAAATTTCAAATAAAAATGGGTCCAACGGTCAAGATACTATAGTTTTGACACCGAAACTGATATTCGACAACCCTAGACCTTTCGTCTGATATCCTATGTTGAATAATCATAAAATGAGGAATGATTAAATAGTGATATCATTATGAAAGTAACAATATGAGAAACGATGCACATACTGACATACAGGTTTGAGGTGTTACAATGTTGGTATCTTATAGGACTACTCCCACACTTCACATAATCAAATACCCTTTTGAGTATCATAACTTATAATATATTACAAAATTTTTAAGTGTCACGTCTCTTTGGACATAATTGGACATTTTTGAAATATCAATCATATAACAATCCAAGTTTGGTTGTTAATCAAATACTCAGATGAGCAATTAAGAGAGTTTAAGACAAAAAAAAATCTTCCAACATACCACAAGAGTATTGTGGAGAGTAGAGAACTCTATTTAATTTGAGTTTAGACAATAATTCATTTTCATTTGATTTATGTAGCTCAACGGTTGTATCAGATTAAATTAATATGATGAGCTTGAAAAAAAATTCAAACCAATTCCAAACATTTGGATAAAGGTGTTTACAAACCAATATGGTAAAAACAAACTCAATAATAAGAGTTTTGATGTGTTTTTCGGACTCCAGGCATTATTACAGCTGCTACGCCCGATGTCGCTGTAGCAAGAGCTATCATCCCTTCTGATCTTACTTTGGCAAGTAGAACACGGTATAAGAATATCTTCCCAGTTCCTCCAGGCCCATCAATAAAGAAAATCCCACTTTTATTTGCCTGAACTCGTGATAACATGGAAGTATATGCATTATATTGTTCAGAATCGAGTGCTGATTCAGCATTGAGATCTTCAATTGGGATTTGTACATCGAGTTCATCTTGAATTTCTCTAAGGTATGACCTTCCTTATAAATTAGGGTTAGGTTGAATAGGTGGTAAATTAAATTTCTTGTTTTCATCGTCAAAAAAAAAAATATTCTTGATATCCTTTCCCATGCTCTCAAAGAAGAATTTAATGTTGCAAAGGGTGTCATTTATCATCGAAACTCTCGTAGCACCAGGTTTCCTTGAGAAGTTTTCAGATAACGAGTCAAGGTATCGATCCCATAATTTATTAACATATGTGGGCTCACAGTGAACCAGTATAGTTGCAAACAAACGGAAAAGAGTTGCCGGCATTTGAAATATGACGGCTTCATCTAAGCATTCTCTGATGCTATTATTTGATTCCAATAAACCTAATTTTAGGCTAATTGTTTGAATGATGTGCATTGAATTCCATCCACGGTCAATAGATTCTCAAATGAGGTGGGACATCTGATGTGAAACACCCTTAAAGTTTTAAAAATTACAAACAAACACCCACAATTCAAATTTTACAAAAAACAACCTGAGAATTTCAAACTCATTAGTAAATTAAAAACATAGAAATTATATATAGTCTATAAACAATTTACAATATGTAAAAAAGCCTATACGTTTAAAAGATTGCAAAACCCCCCTAAAATTCACAATTTACAAAAAAACACTATGAGAATATCTAACCTATAAACACTAAAATGAATATACGAAATTACTAACAACCCCTAGAAAATTAAAAATTTATAAAAAATTATCACACTCCCTTTAAAAATATAGGTTTAGGAAAAAATTCTCACGGTCAATATTGCCCATAACTTTTTTGATAAGAACATAACTAATTAAAAATCTATTAAATTTGAAATTTGCCAAAAAAACACCCTTAAAGTTTAGTACATCGCAAATTACCCCTCCAAAGTTTGAAACTTTTCAATGATTTTTTGTAATTCCTTGATTTTAATGTAATGTTTAATACTTTTGTGTATTTGTAATTTACAAAATTTTAGGGTGTCTTTTACAATTTTTTAAAACTTTTGAGGGTCTTTCTTTTGTAGTTTTTTAAATTTTTATTGTGTTTTTAGTGTAATGCATAGATACATTAATTAACGATGATACTAAAGAGTAAGCCGTTCTTAAGATGTATTAGTCTATAGTTAAGTGTGCACATCACTATTCCTAGACAGTATAGTTTATATATGCAAATATTTTCAGACAATCTATATAGTGGTTAAAAGAATTTGACTTTAATGTATTATTTTTATAAGTTATATTTAATGTGAACCCGCCATATAATTTTGACTGTGGTCATCACAATTTTAATACGTTTGATTGATTGACTATATATGTATATAGACCATAATTACTTTACTTTCTCACATGAACTAATATTTGGTGCTTAATAATTTAAATTGTTACTTTTAAATTTAATATAAAGAGAAGCTCTACTAACATTTATTTATTTACTTACAAGATAATATAATCTCAATTCCTATTTTTTGCTTGAGATTTATTCCATAGTTACCCATATCAAATTAGTAACTAAAATAATAATTATTTATGTTTAAATTAGGATGATTGTAGTTGGTCACGCACTATGTGATTTTCATGAAGATATATACCTTACTTTCTATAGCTATATGTATTGCCCATGTATATTTTATAAAATAGTTGTTAATTTGACATATTAAATTACTTTTTTCTTTGTAGAAGTTTCTTCTTTGACTTTTGGATTGAGTAATCACTATATCACCATTCTAGCATAAAAGGACCTCATTCTAAATGGCTCCAAATCAATGTTTGAGTTGGACTGGAGTATGTACTATTGCTTCTATGTGTATATATTTTTTAAGAAAATCACGTTAACACTTTTTAAGCAGAAGAGAATATTCTAACCTCTGATATTATAAAAATTAAATATAGCCAATTGATGACTAGCATCGATGTTTCTATATATATACTTTATAATTTATTAAAAAGTATCATATAATCTTATATAATAAAATTGATTTAATAGTAAATAGTAATATCATTGTAATAATATTGTTTTCAGGAAAAATTCTTCATGAACTAATATGTTCTTTACGATATATAAACTATGCACTCCAAATTCTTGTGTCTTCTATAAAGCCAAAAAGTTTGAATATGAGTCTCTAATATTTTGCTCTCAGAACAACAAAGTCCATTTAGTAAATGTGAATATTCTATATGAGTTATATGTCTTATATACAATACAATTACCCTAGGCAAGTGAGTTATAATAACAATTTTTATTCACATTGTTTTGGGCAAAATTTGATAGGGACCTTGCATCAAAGAAAAAAAGAAATTTTTATATTTAGAGCACATCGCGAAATATATCATAATCTTCCTGCTCTAATTTTACAAGAAAATAGTTCTTCATACTTTTAGTTTTACTTCTATGATACGAAAAATGAGCTATAAAATTGAATAAAAATATTAAATAATGTAAATATAAGTGAAACCACAACTAAAAGTTAATGTGAATATGAATTAGATCACAACTAAAAGTTTAATGGACATATTACAAGTAAATTCATATGCAAAATTCCTTTACGAATTGAATGATTACCCAACTTTTAAAGACTTCAAGATACTAATAAACAGAGATGTTGTACTAGATCAATATGTTCATAACTCACAAATAGTGGATCACATGGCCACAGTCTAGGTTGAAGGAAACAATGACAATATTTTATTTGAGAGAGAGATTATTGAGTGGATGATCCATCCCATAATTTTTTTATTTTTATTATATTTTTATCAATTTAAATAATCATGATATTCAACGACGTGTATTGAAAATGCATATCAATTAGTAACTTTAAATTTCTAACTTGAGGTGTCAGTGCATGGGAATCATATTTCCATGGTTTTATATGCAAACTCAACGGCCCCTAAAAGTAATTCAAGATCTCTCTTGAAGAAAAATTCTCAAAGTATCCTCTCTCTTGCAATCCAAAAAGAAAGAAGTAACTTAATTATCTCCAAATTCTTCTTAATCTTTCCCTTCATTAATTAACTAATATGGATATGGATAACGTAAGTATTTGTGGCCAAATACTTTCTCTCCTCTTCAATTACTCATTGAAGTAACAGTATAATAATAATGATTATTATTAAAAAAATAGGTAAATAAAGATAATCCCCACGTGTACATGAAACAAAGCACGGCATTTTTTTTTTAATTTTTGGTTTTTTAAGCCTTTACCTGGGCCCCACTTTTCACAGTTGTCCACAAACAAAAAGCAACAAAATTCAGCACCACACCCAGAATCTCCCCTCAATCTCCCAGTCTCCTCTTTCTCCCTCCATCAGAAATTTCTTGTGGGTTAATAATAAAAAGCTCAAAAAGAGAGATATCAAAATCCCATCTTTTACCCGCATCCGAGCTCAAAATCTCAACTTTTCAGAAAGCCCCCGATCTATTTCCTGATTGGTTAATTGGGGAGTTTTGATCATGGCTGTATCAGGCATCAACTGGGACTGGTGGTCGGAGATCAACGAGTCTGAGCAGTGGCAAGAAGGAATCTTTTACTTCCTCTGCGCCTCTTATGCCTTGGTCTCCGCTGTTGCTCTGGTAACCAATCTTCCCATGTTGAATTTTATTCTTCGTAATTTGCTAATATTTGACAGTTGACCTAGTTGAACTTCGATTTTTTGGGGTTTCTTCCAAATTTGAAAAAAAGAAATAATCTTTTTCAGAAATATGAAGGCAGAGGAAAATTTAATACGGATAAATCTGATTGTGTTACATCAAGTCGCAGATTTTAAGGTAGCGGAGAAGATTTAGATGATTACATCAGAGTGTGCCATGATGGGCTTTGACTGAGGTTTCCATTGTAATATATTTTGTTAAATCTCTCTGTATGAAAGTACAAAAGTTTGCAAATTTGAAATTTCTGTTAACAAGTGAAAAGCATTATTGAAAAACTTTTAAAGATCGTTCCTCTGTACCGTAGGACTATATGTACTTGAACAATCTATACGGTCATCATGCTGATGGTCTTTACGAATAGTATGAATTGAAATATGATGTATCAGCTGACCAAATTATCAATACTTCTTTATGGGGATTTCAAGTCCTGCTTTTGGGTCAGTTTCTAATAATTAGCTTGAGTTGAGACATATTGTCTGTTTTGATATTTGTTTCGAATGTTTCTATATCAAACGATTAGAATACAGAACGTTAGGTATTGTTTTTTTACCGATTCTTTTCTAATGAAATGCAAACTTCTTTCCTTTTTTGGTGCAGATACAACTAATCCGAATTCAGTTGAGAGTGCCTGAATATGGTTGGACTACCCAAAAGGTCTTCCATCTTATGAATTTCATTGTGAATGGAGGTGATCTTTTTTACACAAATCATCGATTCTCATGTGTTATTATTTACCGGTTGCTGCTGCTGATCCTTTGTCAATCTTGCAGTGCGTGCTGTTGTATTTGGGTTTTATGCTGATGTTTTCCTTTTCAGGCCAAAAGTAAGTAGCCCTTGCACAAATAGTTGAACTATAATATTAATAGCAAAAAATCCCTTACTTGTTTCTATCTCCTAGTCTTTTTAGTTAATCACATGGCCTGATTGTTTTTGCCCTCAATGGAACTAAAAATACGTACGCTATATTTCCTTTTTTCGCCAATAAGCTGTCTGCCTGTTTCATTAAAGATGTGGGAGGACAGAAATAGTTAAAATTTGCAAAGAAAAGCTACGACAAGCATAAGTTATTTAACGCCATTAGAGGGTTGCTACTCGCTTCAAGAACAGTTTATAATTTAAAGCATTAATGATTAATGGGGATGTCGATTTTGGTGTGACCAGGTGCTAACTCTAGTATTATTGGACCTGCCTGGAATACTATTTTTCTCTACATACACACTGCTCGTTCTGTTCTGGGCAGAGATATATCATCAGGTGAGTAGATTGCAGCTCTTAGTTCCTCTTCTTAGCATGCACGAGGTCAGATGTACTTGTTTATTTTTATCAATAATTCTCCCCTTTTCTGAATTTCTTTTGTTTGCAGGCCAGGAGCCTTCCAACGGACAAGTTAAGGACTGTGTATATTGTTGTCAATAGCGTGATATATGTTATTCAGGTGTGTTAAATAAGATGCTTTGGAATCCGAGGAACTACTTTCTATTGATGTCTGCTGTTTGAATCTAAATTAACTGTGAACCATAAATAAGCTTGTCCTTTGGTGCTTATAGTGTTATAAATCTTGGTAGCTTAATGGCTGAGATGGGTGAAGACATAATTTAATTGTTTCCACTTTCTTGTAAGTCTTTTCTTTAAAGCCTTCCTTATCATTGGCTATCCTCATTAAATTTTCTTGCCATCACTGAGTAACTATAACGTATCAGAGAATCAAAGACCGTTGAGAATATACCAACTGAATTTTAAGAAAAAGATCGAGATATCACATGTTCCAGCAAATCGGACAGACAGCCTGCTGGTTCGTCATTTGAACTTGATTGTAGAGTTAATATAAGACTTCAGGCTCACGGGGTGGTTTCATTCTTGATCAAGCTTCACATTGAAAAGGATAAGAACCTAAAAAGTCAGTGTGAGTAGGTTAAGTGACACACTGATATGAATATTTATTTTCTGCTTTTTCTGCAAAAGGAAGTTTTACTGGAGCACAAGCTGTAGAGAGGGATTGACATGTAAATTAATTCACTAATAGACCCCAGTAGTGATTAATGTTAAAAAAGTTCCAATGGACGTTTGTTTCCCAAGGATCAGGAACATCATGATTGCATAATGACCTGATTACTGGTACTGAATATTGCTTGAGTTGTGTGGAATTTTAGATATGGTGCATATTTGCTTGTGTAAAGCTCCCCTGCTGTGTTCCCTTGCATTTTCAGAAATAGATTAAGCCTTAAGTGCAGATGAATCAGGTTATAACATGATGCTTAGAATAGAGCATGAGTGATGTTTAGTGAAAGGCACATATTATTTCATGTACATGCACACAAACACCAATACAAGCTCATGCATGGAATTTGTCGGTCAAGCAGCGCCTTAGGACAGAAGAGGACAAGGAAAGGAGGTTTTCTAATGTTGGTTTTGGGGGAGGAGGTTTCACTATTAGAGGGTTGTGAATCTTTTCCTTTTTTTTTTCCGGAGGTTACACAAGTAGAAATCCTTCTGATGAACTTCCTCAGTTCACTGTTGTCCACATTTGTTTTGTTTTGTACAACTTATCTTGAAAAAGATCATAATAATGTCTATATATTATTTTACACTTAACTAACGCCTAAGGGAGAAATTTATACAAAATCATCCACCTGAATTATTGAAGGTAGGTATCATGATTAATATAGTCTTCATGAGGATCACTTTTCTTATCAGGTCTGTATATGGGCATATCTCTGGATAAATGACAACAGTGTCGTTGAAATGATTGGGAAGGTCTTTGTTGCAGGTGATACTTTAATTAGTTTCTCAAATTTATCTTAATTTCGTGTATTATATTTTATGTGCAATAACATGTATGTTGTGATTACAGCTGTATCGTTTATAGCTGCACTTGGTTTCTTGGTATATGGAGGAAGGTATGTATCAGTCTCCTGTGATGACATCTCTGTCTAATTTATAGATTTTTTCCCGCTCATGTAATTTTCTTTTCAGGCTGTTTTTCATGCTGAGGAGATTCCCCATTGAGTCAAAAGGGAGAAGGAAGAAACTTCATGAGGTGCATTTTCTCTATCGTCAGTTAAATGTTGACATTTTGAACACTTATGTATCTGATGTACCCTGATTCGTTAGAGATCAAAATCAAAACATTGGTAGGGAACCGACGGTGTATCTTAATTTAATATATAAAGTTAATAGAAGATGACCTTTCCTATTGAGAAGACTAACCCAGTGTTGATCCCAAGGAAGGAAATTACTCTGACTTGTACTTGTTTAAGTAATTGTCCTTATTATTCCTATTATGTAATGCTAGATGTCTATGCATATGTGGTTATGTATAGAGTACAAGGGCTAAATGGTTGAAATCAATTATATCGTGTCTATTGATGCTTGCTGTGGTGTTCTTATGACATTTTAACATTCGCTTATGTAGGTTGGATCTGTAACTGCAATATGCTGCACCTGCTTCCTTGTAAGATGTTTTGTGGTGAGTAATCAACACTTCAAAGGATTTTGTTACAAAATTTTAACGTGATTATATATGCTGTGAGCAAATCAATGGGTTGGTAGATGTTAGCTATTTTGTTGTTCTCATAAAATAACGTCATAAAGGGGTATGCCTTCTCAATCGAAGGTCTTTCTCTTATACTGGAAAATTTTTTCCTTTTTTTTCTTTTTATTTTAACTTCCAAACTTACTAGGAAAACCTAGAGAAGAGAGTGTATGAAGCAATTCAAAAAATCCACGTCATTATTCCTCCACTCGTCAGTAGTATATATTTCGATGACTGCATGTATACACGTAATTTTCTTTAATGCATTTGTATTTCACGGTTGCAGGTTGGATTGTCTGCATTTGATTCTGAGGCATCTCTTGAGGTTCTAGATCACCCAATTTTGGACCTCATATATTATGCGGTAATTCCAAAGCAGTCGATATATCATCTATTTCTTCATATCATTTATGCATCTAACACTTACACTTTGTAATAATTGTATGAAATAGTTCACCGAGATTCTCCCTTCGGCACTTGTTCTCTACATACTGCGCAAGCTCCCTCCTAAAAGAGTGTCGGCACAATATCACCCGATTCGTTAGAGGCCATGAAGTTATGAAGCTCTCTGACAAATCAGTGCTTGGTAGCGATCGAAGCTGTGAGAAGAAATGGGAACGATACCAATGCTTGTATTATTCCTTCAGCTCTCATTTTGTCGAACTCTAGTTGCTTTAGATGATGAAGATTGGGTAGTGAGTGGATGCCATTGATGCAGACCACTTGCACATTACATTTTCTTTTTTTTTTCTCTCCATTTTCGGGTATAATTAAATTTTCGGATTGTTAACGTTATGTTTTTGCTTGATGTATCAATTCAGTATTAATATGTCAAGGGTGAGCAACTAGATTGGCAGTCCATCTCCATGATTGATCTTCTTCTGAACTAATGAGTTACTACTGCATGGCTTTCCTTTCATCACAGGCATTGAACTTTATTTATTCAAGGTCAACCTGGCTCCTCCTTTCTTAGCATCTCCAACAGCTTCCCCATTTTATTGGTATTCTCACTTTTGGAAAATTTTGAGCTTTTTTTGGTTCAACAGATTTCCCATCCAATTTTCCAAAATAGGGATGGAGGAGAAAAAATGTGAGTCTTCCCCAAATCTGTGGCATTCTTTAAATATTTGGGGAGAGATTTGTTATAAATGCAGCACGTTCTTCAAAATGAGATGCATGACAAAATAAATATAAAACAAAATCCGTAATTACAAAAAAACCATGTGAGTAGTTCCAATGCATAAGAGCATCCCAAAATAGGGATGTGGAATATTTTTATTATTGTAATAAATGCAGGATTCTTCAAAATGAGGAAGCTGTTGGAGTTGGAGCAAAAATAATTTGGAGAATATGACTTTTGCTTCCCCATTTTGGAGAAATTTTTGGGGAAACCGTTGAAGATGTTCTAAACTCCAAAACCAGCCGTACGTGATACCTTTGCAGAAATCCCCTCTTCATTCTGAAATTTGAAAATCACGTTTTAGCATATTAGTATTTTCCTGGGGTTTGCACTGAGTTTGGCTTAACTTTGTACGCCAAAGTTTAGCTTTCAACCTCAGCTCTTCATCCTCTTTAATGTTTGTCGAACCAAATATATCTGGCTCTAAAAGTAATTAATTTAAACTTGAGGTTGAAGCCTTCAAAAGCTGTCGCGGCTTATCAATCCTATTTTGATAAATTCATCCTTCGCCATTTTTTGACATACTTTTAAATCATAGCTAACAATTTTTGACATACATTAAAATTATTACCGTCTTAATAATCAATATATTCAAATCATAACTAACAATTTAGAGGCATGAGCCGCACACTCAGGAGGTGGGCATGAGTCAGATTTATTGAGCGAAGCCGGCCGGTAGCGGGCCAGGCCTAGTCCGGCCTGTAATGGGCCCGGCCCTCCACCGAGCACGTATAGAAACATGTGGGTTTTAAAGTAAACAGGATATAGTTTTGGGTTTTATATTCGAAAAATCCCTAAAAAAACTCCAAAGGAGCATCACGAACAAAGTCAACAAAGGAACAAACTTCAACAAAACCCAAGTTCTCAAAAACTCTCCTCTCTTTCTCAGAAAACAATGAAGCGCCTCCCTCTCAAATTCCTCTCATTCTCCCTCCTCTTCCTCCTCTCCTCCTCCCTCTTCTCCATCATCTCTCTAAAACCCCCTTTTCACCCATCGGACCTCCTCCCTCTCCTGCCCAGAGAGGCCTCGTGGCCGATCCTCAGAAGCCTCAACAGCGCCGTCGATCTCCTCCCCACTTTCGTCGGCGCCGCCTCTTCGTCCAACTCGACTCTCGAGTGGAAAGGCGCTTGCTTTTACGAGAACGAGGCCTGGCTCGAGTTTCACAATAAGAGCGGGTCCCAATTTGGAGGAGGAACTCTTCACATCAAGGTTTGAGTTTGATTAGGGATTTTTTTTTTGTTTAGTTTGTTGTCTTGGCTGGTGGGTGTTGATCAAGTTGGTTGCTTGATGGAGTTTTTTTGCGTGTTTTCGGGGGATTTGGGAGTTGGGTTTGTTTAATTTAGGGGAGATTTTGTATATAGTTGTGAAGTTTACTAACAATGCTTAAGGTCTTATCTGATGATTTGGTTTGAGTGGTGAGTCTGGATCAAAATTGATTGCATGTTGGGTGCTTTTTACTTGTTTTTGTGAAATGTTGGACTTGATGGATGAAATTGTATGGGAAACGAGGTTTATCGGATGTCGGGGGCATGTCGAAAGGTCAAGATCCATACCGGGTAGCGGAAATCAGGGAAATATCGGGGATATGTGGTAAATATCGGAGTGCTAAATGGAATGTGATATATAATATAACGTTGGGAAATACCCGAGGCTACGCTAAACCCCTTTAACAGCGAAAAACACAGTATAGAGAAAAGTACACCAAGATTTACGAGATTCGGCAAACTTGCCTACGTCCTTGGGAGCCACACAATTAATTTCTTATTAATCAACAAGAAATTACAATACAAGAGTAGATCTCAAACTTGAGATCTCTCAAAATACAAGTCAACACTGTAGCTACAGTGTTGATTCCCCCTCTTTAATAAATTCCCCTCAATAACTTCCCCTCAATAAATTCCCCTCTTCTTTAATTCCCTTTCTCAAAATCTCGTGAGCTGAATGAGAAAGAAGAGAGATCGCGAGAGAGGAGAGAGAGAGCGCCGCCGCCAGAGGGAAAACCATGAGAGAGAGAATAAGGCACAGAGAAAGAGGCTCTGGGTTCCCTTTTATAGGGGAACCCTAACTACAGGCTGGCGACAGGCTGCCTGAGCTCGACCTCGCCTGCGAGCGTGGGCGCTCGACCTCGCCTGATTGGAGTCGACATCGCCTGCACGAGCTCGCCAAACCCAACTCAAACTCGCCTGCGCTGCATCGTCGAGCTCGCTCGCTGCACTCGTTCGCCCCGACCTCGCCTGAAGGACACCTCAAACTCGCCGTTGACCTCGCCGACTGGAGCTCGCCCTCGCCTGAATTAAGGTTTGGTCTTCACACCCGATTCCAACAATCTTTCACTTGGAGATTAAACCGTCGTCAGCAGACTATCTCAACAAGCACTTACTCTTGTGTGGCACCGCTCTCATCACTTATGCATGAAGGGCAAGTAAAATTACGCACAACTCCAGTTTTTGAATGGTCACCGTCTTTGTTAACATATCTGTTGGATTCTTCCTGGAACATTCTCCAGTTTCAATACGTCATCTTCCAACAGGAATCTGATGGAGTGATACCAAAGCCCAATATGCTTCGTTTTAGAATGAAATACAGAATTCTTAGCTAAGTGTATCGCACTCTGACTATCACTGTACAAAACATTCTTCTCCTGTTTGAATCCCAACTGCTAATAAATCCTGAAGCCATATCATCTCTTTAGTGGCTTCAGTCACTGCTAAAAAACCCTAAAGCCATATCATCTCTTTAGTGGCTTCAGTCACTGCTACATATTCAGCTTCTGTAGTGGATAGAGTGATAATCTTCTGTATCTGTGACATTCAACTAACAGCTATAGTTCCGACAATGAATACATAGCCGGTGATGTTTCTTCGGTGATAGACTTCACCTCCAAAGTCTGCATCTATGTACTTTTGTGCTTCCACTTCTCCCTTATCAAAGTGCAAACACTTCTGTGTGGTGCCTCGTAGATATCTCAGAATCCACTTGATCGCTTTCCAATGAGTTTTTCCTGGATTCGACATAAACCGGCTGACCACTCACACTGCATGACCAATGGCTGGTTTCGTATAGATCATTACGTACATCAAACTTCCGATGGCTGAGGCGTAAGGGACTTTAGTCATACTCTCATTTTCTTCTTCTGAGTGAGGAGATTGATCCTTGGATAGGCGAAAATGGCTGACCAAGGGTGTGCTGACTGGCTTGGCGTCGCTCATATTGAATCTCTACAAAACACGGTTGATGTACTCTGTCTGAGACAACTGCAAGAACCCTTTCTTCTTGTCTCGTGATTTGCGTTATAAGGACCTTCTTTGCTGGACCCAAATCTTTCATGTCAAACTCTTTTAACAATTGCTGCTTCAAATTCCTCATGTCCTCCATATCTGTACCTGCAACCAACATATCATCAATATATAGCAGTAAGATGATATAACTGGACTGATATATTTTGAAGTAGCAACAATGGTCGGCGTTGCACTTCTGGAAACCTTCATTGTGCATGAAGCCGTCAAACTTCTGTACTACTTTCTTGGGGCTTGTTTCAGGCCATTAGACTTCGCCTGAAGCTCGTCTGAAGCTCGACTGAGGCTTTTCGTGCGTTCCAGAGTTGAAACGCAAATGGTCACGTTCTGGAGTCAAAGCAAAGCAATCACTGCGTAATCAACTGCCAACGAAGCTCAAATCCAGCTGCTAATGCAGCTCAAACCCAGCTGCGTTATGAAAACACAGCTTCCAAACGCTGCAAACGCAGCTTCCAAACGCTGCAAACGCAGCTTCCAAGAGCCGTAAACGCAGCTTCCAAGCATCGCAAACGCAGCTTCCAAGAGCTACAAACGCAACTTCCAAGCGCCGCAAACGCAGCTCAGATCCAGCTGCGTTAGCAGCTTCCAAACGCTGCGTTTGAATGCAGAATTCATGCCCAGAACGTAATTCTTGCGTTTGACTCGTTCAAACACGAGCTGAACGGTTTCAAAACCGTTTTCCACGATTTGAGGGGATCACTCTCCCACTTAGGAGCGATTTTAGGGGTCAGTTATACCCCTTAATCCCCTATAAATACTTGAAAAATCAGCTTAAATCGGATCTTTTTTGGGCAGATCATAAAAGGAGCTTGAATTTTGGGGATATCGGCATTCATTCTTGAAATATTCTTCGGCAACAGAAATCCTTGGAGATTTGCTACTTGGCTTTAAAACCGATCTTCGGTTTAAATTAACTCTTTTACAGAGTTTCAAACTTGTTCTGAGTTCCTAAACTCGTTAAGAGTTATTTCTTAAATTTGTCACACAAGTTCTCCACGACATCAAATCCGAGAGGAATAGACTTTGTTCCAACGAGGTGAAACGTCGAATCGTCAACGAGAAGCAAACTCGACACGAGTTTCGAGGGAGACATCTCATCGACATCAAGAAGAACCTAATTTTAAACAAAGGAAAGGATTTCCGTCGATTCCTTCTCTCTTTTGTAAATCGGAAATCCGATACAAGAAGATTGTAATTTCTTTTTCTATGTTTGTTAGAGAGAGATTGCATTGAGAGAATTGTAACCCGTTCTTTTCTAAGTCTGTTAGAGAGAATAACACAAATTCGATTCTCCATTTTCTTCTTGCAATTTCCCCACTAAACAGACTGCTTGATGGGGACTGTTCCAGTAGTTAATAAATTGGTAAAATGAAGAACGTTAGTCAATCACACATTGGAAGATCATGTCATTGTGTTCTATTTGCTTTTCTTCAGATAAAACCTGACTATTGCTCTTTGATGACCAGTCACTTTCCCATCAAAACACAAACATTTAAATTTTTATGAGCATCTAAACTTTTTTTTTGTGTTTTTTTTTAGAACAATGAGCATCTAAAACTTAAAATTACCAAGTATCATACCCATGTAAAAAGTAACTTGTTAAAATATTTTTGTAAAATTTCTTGTAGAACGCAAAGAAGCAACGCAAAGAAGCATCAGACACATCCTTAGGCTATGCTATCCACTCCATCTATTAGTCTATATTATCTCGTGCCAATTGAAATCTAAACAGACAGTCCTTTATTTTCTTTTGAAAACATTTATTGGATATTTAATCATTTATACATAGTCCAGATGTTGAACATCATTCTAGAACTATTTAGTATTTTCGCAGGTTGCTGGATTAATGAAACTAACTCCTAAATTTGATTTTTTTTTTTTCTGTTTCCTTCCCAGGCTGGTGAAGCTCATAGTTGGACGTGTATGGATCTTTATGTCTTTGCAACTCCATTCCGGGTGACATGGGATTACTACATTTTGGGTCGAGAACATACCCTTGAAATTGATGAATGGGAGGGAAAAGTAGAATATGAATATGTAAGTTATCGATGCTGATTATTTAAGTTGAAATGTCGCATCCTTATTTTAGATGTCTGCTTTATCTCCTGATTCTCATTAAAATTTTGTTTTGTATGTAAAATTAGGTGAAACATAATGGACTATCAATCTTCCTTATGCAATCAGGGATGATGGGGACTCTTCGGGCTTTGTGGGATGTTTTTCCTTTATTCACTAATACTGGATGGGGCGAGAATTCAAATTTGGCTTTCCTTAAGAAGCATATGGGGGCTTCATTTGAGGAAAGGCCAAAGCCATGGTTCACTAATGTCACTGTTGATGACATTCACTCTGGAGACTTTTTAGCTATATCAAAAATTCGTGGTAGATGGGGTGGATTTGAGACCTTAGAAAAGTGGGTAACTGGAGCTTTTGCTGGGCATACTGCTGTTTGCCTTAAGGATTCAGAAGGAAAGCTTTGGGTTGGAGAGTCTGGACATGAAAACGAGAAGGTTAGACCTATTCATTTTCTAGAGTCTAACTTAATTTTGTTAGTATTCATAATCTTTTTCTGCAAGAATATCTTTTTTTCCATTAAGCCTGCATCAGGATAAGTCTTTAGTACACGAAATCTATCCTTGTGCATGTTTTCTTACAATTTTTGCTGTATTATTTATCACTTTTCATTTCTTCTTTGTAGGGCGAAGATGTTGTTGCTGTGCTGCCATGGGATGAATGGTGGGATTTTGAACTGAGTAAAGATGACTCAAATCCTCATATTGCATTGCTTCCTCTACATCCAGATCTTCGAGCTAAATTTAATTCAACCGCTGCTTGGGAGTATGCTAGAAGCATGTCCGGAAAGCCTTATGGTTATCATAATCTGATATTTAGTTGGATAGATACTATAAGTGGAAACTATCCACCTCCCTTGGATGCACATTTGGTATGATATTTTTTATTTTTATTTCCTACTTATTTTACCTTTGACTCAATTGTTTTTAATGATTGAGTTCTGTATTCATATTACTATTGAATATAGTAATTATTTCTTTAGGGGATCCAGAATTTTCATATCCATGATTCCATGGGGTTGTCATTCTCTTAGGCTCTTTGCCGTGGGAAGGATTGCAATTCCCTATACAATATTATCCTCAATCTTAACCTGAAACAACCTAGGATAATTTGGTTTGCATATAGTGTTGACATGGATGAAACGAGGATCTTATTGTCATTTATCTATTTGTTATTGCTATTTTAGTTTAGGAGGGTTTACGTCTATAGGTGGTAATAGCTTTTAAGCTCCCAGCTTCCCTTTCTGAGGACATAGTGTGGACCCCATTTTTCCATCTTAACAACTAGCTTAAAAATCTTGTCTTGTACTTGAAAATAAAAACTAACTCATGGTAGGCTATTTATCTTGATAGGAAAAGTTGTAGACTACGAGTAACATCTTCTAATCCCTCTCCTCTCTAGAACATAGTATGGACCTTAATCTTCATCAATACAAGTATTTTGTTTCGTACTTAAAAATGAAAACTAAGTCATTGGAAGGCTATTTATCTTCATATAAAAGTTGTTGATTTTGAGTAGATATTTTTTTTAGTAATCAAAGTGTGCTCATTTTCTGAATGGAGGAAAACTTTTTACACAAACTATTGAAATTGTCGCCAGCGGCATGAACATTAACTACCCTTGAATATAGGAGAGGGGACAGGTTAATACTCAAGATATATAAAGTACATTGGGCAAAATTGTTCATAACATTGCACCCGCACAAGAATGAGACAACTTAGTGTTACAAGTATTCATGAATTCACTTAAAAAATTATCTCATGACATCTTGAATTCCATTTAAGTGATTTACTGGGTTTAACTGAAATATTCACAGATTATTTATATGTCTAACTGCTGTCCATTATACAATAGTCTTTTTCATCAAAACATGGCTGACTGTAAGTTAATCATGCAGGTTGCTTCTGTAATGACTATGTGGAGCAACATGCAGCCAACCTATTCCGACATGTGGAATGAAGCATTGAACAAGCGTCTTGGTACCCAGGTTTGTTCAACTTCACTTTTGTTATTCTACTTTGTTTGTTATGGTTTTTTTCCTCTTAGTTTCCAATAATTATTAGTGAACTGTTATCTTCTAGAAGGAGAGTTTTGTTAATAAACTAAACATAAAACAATGGTATAGAATAAACATGTGAAAGAAATCAATAACCTGAAGCTTGGACGAATCCTTCTTCTTTGTTTGATGTACAACTCAAGTACCTTGCGTGGTTACAAGCTTATAATATTGATGCACAGAAGTTGTCCATGCCTTTATATGATTGAATAGCACCTAGAAACTTTAGGCAGTATCTGTAATATATATAAACACAGCTAATATGCTAAAAAGATCTCATCTATCAATTTTGCCTATGCAATTTATATTAGTTGCCATGTAAAATTTTGGAATGATGGGACCAATACATGGGCATTTCCTTGATAGTTGTAGACGTCAAAAATGCTTACAGACATCCAAATATCACTCAAGACAAAGAGAAGGTGATAAACATCAGTATCTAAGTCATGGGAGATCATACAAGCCCAAAGGAAGCAAAAGGATATGTGAATCAACACAAAACAATGTGAATTCACAGAACAATGCAAACTACAGCGTGTGGGCGCGGCAGCTCATGGTGCCGCGGCTACAGCGCGGCAGCTCATGGTGCCGCGGCTAAGACGCGGCAGTTCATAGTGCCGCGGCTTGGGCGCGGCAATCCATGGTGCCGCGGCTACTATAGGGGATGCTACAGCGGTTATGTCTCGCGGGCCGAGACAGCAAACACTGTCTCGCCCGTCGAGACAGCAAAAGCTGTCTCGCGAACCTGTTTTCTGCCAACTGTTCTTGGAGGTTATAAATACCCTCCAAAGGCCATTTTTCCAGGGGGCTGATCATTGTGAGTACTTCAGAGCAATCCAGAGCAATCCAGAGCAGAGAGAGAGCAGAGGTGCTGATCTTACGGCCAATCCTTGATAATCAGGCTTTGACTTGATTTCAAGAAGAACGACTATCTTACATCGATAAGATATCGTTTCAATTTCTCACTTCGATAAACGAAGTCAGAATCATAAACCCCTCACGGTTCAATCAGAATCTGTGATTTGGTGGTCCACGAGTCAAAGCGCTCCCGGCACAGGCAAAGATCCCACGAAAGCAGTGATCCAAACAACGATCCTGCGTTTATTTTCTCAAGAGTTGTAATTTTCTTTTTGTTGTGTAAAAGAGTCTTATAAAAAGGCTGTTTTCTTTGAATTTATTGTAATCGACCGAAGATATAATGAATTCCACAACGAAACCAACTTTTGACGCAAACAAGCTGGCGACCACAGTGGGAGCCAACGGTCTCGCTGCCGAGACCGTCGTGTCGCAGCCGATCAAGATTCCAGTTGAATCCATGGTCGAATACGAATTCGACCAGACCAAGTTTGAGGAATATCTCTCATCATCCTCTTCAAGATCTTCATTATCTCGCAAGTACAAGAGGATCTCACAATTGAGGAAGAGTTGCATGCCAAAGAAGGCACAAAATGAAGACTCTCGCTTGATTGTTGCTGAGAATTTCACTCGCAACACCTCTGCTCAAAATGGCTCTTATCTAATTGAAGAGTCATCGAATCAAAGCCCGACGACATTGACGAAAAGAGCTCGTCAGAGACAGCGTCAGCGTCGTGCTCGTCAAATAGCTAAGGCATTTGAACAAACCGACGGAGTTCGTTATTATGCGGACTTAGAGTCGAGGAAACAACAAGTGGTTCGTTCAACGCAACGACGAACTACTCACGTTTCTGCACAATTCACAACAGAGGAATGGACACTCGTCAAAAGGGCTCGTTCTACCCTCCAAGAACGTATACAAAAACGTCGTGCAAACGTTGTTCATGCCCGTGCTCTCTTACAACAAAGACACTCAAGAGAGAAGGTATACAAGTCATCAAGGACATATGGATGTAGATGAAACATGATCTATTCTAAAAGAATTAATTTATTTCTAATTTTCTACTTCCTATCATGGATATTTTTGTAGCACACATGAGTTAAGCTAGCAATAGACGTGAAGACGTGCTTACTTATTTTCCAAACTTATAACCATTGTTTCTTAATAGCATTCTCCTTTGCACATATCAAGTTTGAGCAGCGAGGCTCATGATCGGATTTTAAAATTAATATGCCATGCTTCTTAAGTTAATAAATCTGTCTTGCATTTTGTATAGGCATTGAAATAACGTACATTATCACAAGCGAGTTCATTGATGGAATATATCCACTATCCGGTTCCGAATCGTTACGCAACTAGGGCTATCGCTAGTGGCCCGTGTGATGATGATGCTCCACACTCACTTGAGATATCCTCCGACTCACGTCGGATTTCCTCAGTTTGCTTGAAGTCTTCTAGTGATTCATAAATATGAACATATCAACTATGAGCCCAGAAAATTTTGTTAGAAAAATGATGAGTCAAAGGCATTAGCAAGTATTCCTAACAGAAATGCTATATTCATTGAAAATTTCTAAAATTCATAGATCGCTCATTGGATTATCAATGTGGCAATATATAGCACAACATAATTTTCATAAGTTACTCTATTTCTAGATTCACAATAGTCTTAAATCTAGAAGCCCATTGCTTGCATAGGACAATTAACCTGCATTTCAGGAGCCATTAGATCTATAGCTAAACAATAAGTAATTCATATTCAAGATAATATAACTTGATGATAAATATGCGAGCAAGATAATGTATACATAACTAGATTATGCACAATAGAGATAATGTGGATCTTTAACTCAGGGGTTAGTCTTAAATCGAAGAGCACAAGCTCTGATACAATTGTTAAGACCTAGAGGTGGGGGGGTGGATTAGGTGGTCTTATGCTCAATCTAATCGATAATGCCAATTAAGATACTAAATTACAAGTTATCCCTACGAGTATGAATAATCCAAGTTATGACCTAGGATAAGCAATGTAAACAATGAGATATATCCTATAATGCATGAAATATATAGATACCTCATGCTGGATATATAGAACATACCATGGGGTAAAAATGTGAACTAGATAGTGGATCATATAAATGATGACTAATGCAATGGGATCAAGAAATATAACACAAGTATCAAAAAACGCAAGCACACTCACACAAGATATGTATCACGGAGTCGGACCTTCCGGTCTACCGTTCCGCTCCCCACTCCAGGGGAGAATCATAAACACCCACCGCGCCATAAACCGAACAATCGGTTTGGACCGGACTTCTTTCTACACCTCGGTTCTTCTAGCTACGAAAACTCTACAACTCCAATCTTGCATCACTCTACAACCCACTAAGTGTTGGACTAGCCGTCGTCTCCTCAAGTGCTCGGCTTACAACCTCTCTCTAGGCACGTCTAACCGGAACGCACCCTCTTGGGACGACCCGACTCTACAACAACTCCTCATCGTGATACAAGTGTATTGACAAAAGTGATTCTAAATAACGACATATGTACAATGTTTTCTCAAAAGTGAGAACTAAGTTAATGACACACTCTTAGCACAAACCCACAACCAAATACTACTATGAATGTAAATACAATAAGCTCATAATGTTTGTGTGTGAACAAGAGATACTACGAATCACAACTAAATCAAATGTCGTTCTAGCTTAATAAATGATAGCATCAAATACTATAAAAAAGGCAGAAATAGAGTTTGAAAACTTCTCATATATCAAGAGTTGGCGCGGAGAATCGTTGACTGCCCAAAACCATTAAGATGATCTCCCTCCAGTCTTGTAGAATTGAATCACAAAACAAACTCATTTGCTTAAGCTTTCTTAAACACACTTAAATCAAATAAAACCTGGTTAAACTCTTCTTAACTTGTTTTTAAACTCTCTTTGGGATGTTCTTCATTTGTAGGAGCAGGTAACTCAATGTGGGTATGTTATAAACCCAAGAAATCAGCCAACCCAAGAATGACAACAACCAAAACAATACAAAACGAAATCAGCCGTTATGGTGCAAACGGCTCTCTGATAAGTCGGACTTAGAGTCGACTTATGACATATCAGTTTTTGGAGTGCTGAAATCGTATGCGTTCTGGATTTGTAAAACAGTTAAATAATAAATCAACTCTAAACATATATGAATATTATTGAGGGATGTTTCTAAACATGTAGACTACACATCTTTAAAAAATATTATCTGAAATATCCTTTCATCTTGTGAGAAATGATATTTGAAATACAGATATTTCAGATTCTAAAACTGCTAAACCCGATTTTCTAAATCAATTTGCCAGTAAATAACTCCAAAATTATAAATTTTAGGGAAGCTTCTAAACGGTGTATGATGAATGTTAGCAGAAGGATTTCTAATATCACTTCCCATTTGAGAGAAATAATTTATTTTGTAACTGGTCAAAATATAATCGGTGCAACACTCTTACAGTAGGACTTATAAACATGTTATAAGTCGACTTATATAGCCAAGCGACTTGCCTTGCTTTATAAGTCCACTTAGCGAGGGAGAAAAATGCATTTTAGAGAGTTTTCTATTCGAACTGTGCAGTGGGTTTATAAGTCGACTTAATAACATGCACAGCACTGTTCCATGTTGAAAACTGATTTTTACGTGCTTTAAAAAACAATAAATTCAAAATTATGAACTTGGAAATGTTTATAAACCTGTAATAAACATGATTACAAAGAATATTTTGGATTGCATTCCCAAGTAGCTGAAACCCATACATCTTCTTCAATTGTCCAAAACCTGAAAGACGACATACATGTTTTGACATTCATGTTTAAAACAATTTGAACTCTACAAAAGATGATAATAATTATAGAAACTTTATATAACATATGTAATAAAACTGACTATTAAACGTCTATAACTATAAAAATAATGTTCCACAAAACACCTATATTATTTGATAAATCAAAAATACGTGGTGTGTGAAAAAAGTATGAGACTTAAAGTAATCAACCACAGTATAAACTAAACTAAGATTACCCCAAGCTTGTGATCT